AGTCCACACAGCACAGGACTTAAGAAGCTCTGATCGCCCTGCTGCCACACAGAAGATGGCGGACGCTTTTACGGAGGACTCAGCGCTCCATGAGGCGTCTACGTATTCATGTCTATGACGGTTCCTATGTCTGTTCATGGGGAATTAAGCGTTTCACAAATTTTATTTTCATTTTTAAACGTTTCTATTCTGCAATCTTTTAAGTCCTGTTTGTTATATTTTATAAAGCTTAATCGTGAGGAAACCACAATTTTCTGTTTATTCAGTGAGAATTTAATACAGCTAACACAAAATGATGTAAAAAAAAAATAATGATTTTTTTTTTTTAAATTCTGCCTTTAATTTAACCCTTCCTGTTATGGAAAGATGGCCGACCCTATGTATACAAGAGAAAACTAATTTCTAAGAAAATGGCCGCTTTTCAATTAATCTTTAGTCGATCAAACTCGAGATTAACCCAGTAATCGATCATTTGCATCCCTATTTTTGTTCCACCTCTCTTCCTCAGGCCATGGAGGTGGTGGATGGTCGCCGCCCGCCCTTCCCTCCCAACCGCTACAGCAGCAGCGGTGACACACGGGACACGGACACACAGGCCCCGTCCAGCGGCGAGTCGAGCCCGTCGCCCCGACCCTGCAGCTCCGACCACCTCCACTCCCACGACGGAAGTCCCTGTTCTGCTGAAGACATCGATAAAGGTTTGCTCTAAGTTAAACTGATGATAGTTTGTTGTTCTATTGTTCTAAAATAAAGTCGTCCGATTTTATTTATTTATGTTTTGGAAGGAAAGGGATGTTATTCATCATAGATTCAACAAATAAAAAGGATTTTGCATGTTTGCTATATTAAAAGAAAGGAGTCTAGTTTTCAAATTACTTCAGGCTCAATTTATCTAATCTACACACAGTTTTAGGAATAAGATTTGGGTCAGTTTCTTTCAGAACACTTGCTAATATTTAGCCAAATTCAATTAAATGAATTCAGTAAATTTAGTCAAAGACTCTGGATGAACCTGTTGGTTATAAAATGATGAATACTTTATGCTGTACTTAACCTTTTCATTGGTAATAATTTAACCCTCATTAAAACTTGTTGATCTGCAGTTGGGGGCCACAAATGGCCTCAGGCAGCACTTTGGACACCCCTGCACCACATGCAACACTCAGGGGTGCATGAATTACCAAGTCTGTGTTTGTGCTTCACCAAAAGGCTAGTTAAGACCAAAACACCAGACTGTCATCCAGTTTTTGGTAGAAAGAGAGAAATGACAAATCATCCACACGGAAATTATTGATTATTGTGCGATTAATTGATTTATTGTGTATTGTGACAGGCCTGCTCACCATGTGTTGCTTTGTGTTTCTCTGTTCTCAGACAGCGGGTGCAGCTCTCCTCTTCCCAAGTTCGCCACTTCGCCCAAACCAAACAACAGCTACATGTTCAAACGGGAACCTCCAGAGGGATGTGAGAGGGTCAAAGTGTTCGATGAGCTGGTGTAAGTAGCATCATGATGTGTTTCCATTATTACACAGTTTTAACATATATTTTTATAAAAACTTTATTCTGGAGGTGTGGCAGTTTCATTTTGTCATAGCATTGTTCCACAATTACATGTAGAAGAATCAGAATTTACCAATTTAACAAGAACTTTTTAATTAAGGAATTATTCACTTAAAACAAGCCCCTAGCTCTTGCTGAAAAGTAAAATGTTAGTTTTGTCTCGTTTCAAGTGCACTAAGATATTTACACTAGAAACTAGACACAAATACTTTGTATGATTTTGAGTTTTTGTTGTTTGGATAAAACATATTTACAGACAAAACAGTCTTATTTCTTTAATGCAATATATATAGGTATATCTGCAAAGTTTGGCTTAATTACTGCTCTGAATAGTTTTTTAAGCAAATGGTCTTGTTTTTAAAAGTCTGTGTACTCAAGTTAATGTTAAATTTATTATTAAATTAGTTGCCAATTATTTCAATAATCGATTAATCATGATTAATTTGATTGTTAGTCATTAATTGCAGAAAAACTGTTATTTTCCCACGTTTTGTTCATAAGAAAACAAAATTGCTGTGAACAAAATGGAGGCCATCGTAATTTAAGAGTACCTTCGGTCCTTTTCAGATCTGGCCAATCAAAAGGCTTCCCTCTGTTCTCGTGCCCTGACAAAAACAAGGTGAACTTCATCCCCAGAGGCTCGGCCTTCTGCCCCGTCAAACTCCTCTGCTCCTCCCTGTTCTCCCCCATCAGCCCCAGCTTTCACACCAGCAGCGGCCTCACAACTCAGGTGACCCCGACTCAGCCCGCAGCGCCAGCAGCTACGTTTTCGTCCTCCGCAGACCTGAGCGGCGGCAGCGGCCTGAGTGCTGAGTCAGGAGACGGCTCAGCACATGTAGTCCTCACCAGCTGGTCCTCAGGTATTCATGACCAAACCACCTACAAATAAAACATTGCATCTAGCCTGGTGGTTTGGCTTAAAAACAAAAAGGAAAAAAAAATGACAACAAAAAAATTGCACTCTGATAATCCTAACATTAGCCAGCAGGGGGCGCCCTCGGCCTGGAAATGGATTCCTGTTTGAGGATAATACTTGATGTTTGGGCATTGTTGCTGACCGCTCTCCTCCCATCACTAACCTAACCTCCCATCGTCACATATAGCAGGAAATCGTTTGCTTATTCTGCAATAAATAGAAATGAATGATTAAATTATATGTAGCGTTGGCAGTCTTATCAAGATAAAAAATAAATAAAAATTAAAAAAAGAAAAAATCCACAATTGTAACCATGCAATATCAGCAGAAACTGCATTGTGTTCATGTTATTATCCAGCTGTTCAGTGTTGAAGCTAAAACACAAATGGGATTTCTTATAATTTACCCCATTTTGGCTCTAAAGGGCACAAAACATTTTTATTGTTATTGTTGTTATTATTTCTGACGTATATGTTTGAATGTACTTGTTGCGTTGTGTTAATGAGAAGCAGCAGTACTTGTTGAGTGTAGTTGCAGTTTTTTTTAAGGCCAGGCCTGAACCTGTACACGGTGTGATCACCATGGCAACAGGACGAGCTAAGCACAAAATGCAAAAATACGAGCTGTTTAATCAGTGACCAAGTAACCACAAAGCACACGACTTTCCTGTCGCCTTCTTATTGGCCCAACCGACTGTTCGCAGTAACTCAGGTTGTTCAGAAGCGAATGGTGGGGCTGTGCTGCCATTCCTGAGTGTTCATAGTCATTTTCTCACAAGGAGATTTTTTTTTTGTTTTCAAAATGTCCTCTTTTGTTTTTCATTCCCAGGAGACGTAGGTTTGATTCAGACTGAATTTTTAGGTTTTGACATTGTTCCAGGTGCCTACGACACATTCCACAACGAGCTGCATGAGCTACTTTAATTCACAGCTGCTTTGATTTGTCTTGAGAAGTTTGCAGCTGTGTAACAATTATATTAAACACAAACCAAAGCAAATTACAAAACGGCACAGAGACCGTCATATTCGGGATGTCAGGGCAATTTTTGTGCCAGAATGTTTGTGTGTTTTTCATTTTTGTAAAGTGATTCAGTGTCATATGAGGCTCTGGGTCAATTTGCCCCTTTCAGGATCGGCATCCCCACTTCATACCTGTAAAAAAACTGTTTCTATCTATTTCAGTGGTCAAAATCAATAAAAATGGGAAAGAAAAGCACAAAAAAGCTCAAAGAGTCTGGCAGCAATTCAAAATCTGAAATAATTGAAGGCAAAGTTTCCTGTTTGGGTGCAAAAAGTTTTATAAAGTGGTTTATTGAGTGCGCAGGAAGATTGGAAAAAGGTTTTCTGATGGTAGCAGAATGGAGAAAGGGGGTGATATATGCCCAGTATTTAACAATGGGATGGGAAAAAAATTAAAACCAGTGAAAATAATTAAAATTTAAAAGGCAAAAATCCCCACTGCCCCCCAAAAAACATGTCAGCAGGATATAATCTTTTATATCTTTAATCTATAAAGTGAAATTCTCATTTTCTTTACATAATCTGTTTGTATTTTACCAATAAGGGAGCGTTTTAGATCAGGGCTGTTCAAACTGTTTGACATGTGGGCCAACATTTTACTTGCAAGCATCCCTTTGTAACAAAGGGAAATTATTCATGGTAGATCCCAAACTTTACAAGGATTTTGCTTGTTTGCTATATTAAAAAAAAATCTATATAGCAGGATTTTCTTTTAAAATGCTTGCTATATTTGCTGCATTTAATAAATAAAAAAAGCTGATTTTGGTACATTAAAGTTGGCTTTTCTGTTAAGAAAACAAACAAGTGTATGAATAAATGTGATTCTAATATTACAAAAGCTTTGTAAAACTTTGTGGCGTATTTATTTTCTGTTGTAAGAAAATTATTTTATCTTGATTTGAAATAAAAAGTCTCAAAATGGCCCCCGCCCCTCACTTTGGACACCGCTGGTTTAGATGGACGTTGTAATTTCTGCTCCTGTTCTGATCAGTATTGATTTCTATCCATCAAATACCTGCAACCAGAACAATTTATAGTAGGTGAGCACATATGCAGATTAACCTAAAAGTGTTTTAACTGCTTTTAGGTTAATCTGAAGACTTCGTCATGCCACTCAACCTCCAGAAAATCTAGTTTCCTGACTTTAAAACGCCATTGGAGCTAAAGCTGTGCATGTAGTGGATCAGAGAGAATTTAAAATGCATAGAAAAGAAAAACAAAAGCTGCTAAATATTGATGAAAAAAAGGTTGTTTTTTTGTTGTTTTACCAAAAAGGTAAACGCTCAAAAACAGCTGCAATCTATTGGTTATACTGTTGACTTCCTGCTTCAGTTATAGATTTCCCAGATGATCTTGTTAGGAAAAGAGCTAATTTAATCTGTTTTGTGTTCTCAATAGTTTTTTTATGTTTTATGTTCTATCCAACATATTTATATTGAAAATGTTTTTAAGAAAATAATTCTGAGTCTACAGTTGCCTTCCTGTTCTAGACGGCTTCAATTAAAAGGGTTATTTTGTTTCAAAAATAATTTGAAACAAAATATTTAATAATTTATAATTATATAGAATTTAATCTAAAGACAGATTGTGATTTATTTGTAGCATTCTTTCGAGATTTCTTTGGTTTCCTGGCTTTAAATAAATCCTGTTTGGGTCAAAATTGACAGATTTGACCTTGATTGACCTTCTGAGAGTTGATGAAGTTTATTAAAAATGTTTCCTTACAGTAGGCTATCAGGGGATTTTTAGAAATAAAAATAAGAGTAAAAAAGGGGCAAAATGACCAGTGCTCAACATAAACCCACTGCTGCGTAATTTGGGAAACACACAAACTTTTTTTTTTTTTTTTTTGGTAATAAGCCCAAGCGTAAGCACTTAATTGGAAAGGAAAAGATAATCACTGTTCTGTGCTGTATTCAAGTTTGTTACTTAGAACAATCAGAAGAATGTGCAATTGATTTTTAATTAGCAGAAAAACACTAGTTTGTTTTATAGCTTGGGCTCCATAAAGGCCCATTTAACGTCTGATATTACTGCTGAGTTCTCAGCACGTTTTAGAGATATTAAAGCATAAACGTTGCAGTTATATGCTGATGACACCCTGTTGAGATTCATCTAAATAACGATCAATTCCTGAAAAATAAAATCTGTTCTGCAACTTCAAAATCTTCGACCGTATCCATTCAGTGCCGAATGTTTAAAGAAGTAGTTGCCATTGTTGGCGATGATAAATTGATTCTCCTGTTTTACATGTTTTTGTGTAGATCTTGTTTTTTTTTTCAATAAAGGAAACAGAAAAGCCTTTTTGAATTGATATGTCTTTTCTTTTTAAAGGGCTTTGAGACACAGATGGACAAACATCAGCATTCAGTAACGTCTCACATGTAGAGGCTGAGGTAAAGTTAAGGCTCTTCATGTAGTCGATATGATGGAAAATTAAAACAACGCGTAGCTTCAAGAGTCAAAACGAGTCTCATCTGTAAATATCTTAAAGCTGGTGTGTCAAACTTAAGGCTCGGGGGCCAAATCCGGCCCGCCGTAGCTTTTTATGTGGACCTCTTGACTCCAAACGGACACATAAATAGAAACTTTAGGATAAGTTTAGTGCTCAAATATTATGTTATCAAATCAGTTTTTAAAAAAAAAATCTGTAAAATTATATCAGTCCCTGCAGAGTTTTGCGATTTAACAATTATGGAAATTTACACAAAATCAACAGATCCCCGCATTTTTTCATGGTAATGCATAATTCTTAGTTTAATACTAATTTTGTGCAAAAATGTTCAGGAACATATAAGAGCATAGCTGTGCTTCCATTTACCTTATATCTGCACAAATTGACATTTCGGAAATATTTTCTTAATGGATACATGCAAAATTTGAAAACTCCAGATTTTTTGATACGTTTGTGAGCTTTAGGATGAGGTGGGATTTTTTTTTTCTTTTTTTTTTTGACCATATCAAAATTTGCAATGGAAACAATTTTTTGCATCACACAAGTCACGTGATCCAAAACTGTATATTACCACTGATGGAAACCATGAAGGAGAAGACGACAGGAAGTAGTTGGAGAACCGTGGCGGAGCATTTTTTCTTAACGCCTTATAAACAAACTTATTTGTGTGTGATTTTAATTGTGTTTCTTATTTAATGGAAACACTGCAATTCCAAAATTGTGGTCCTCAACATTGGCGGACTATAAAAGATTTGCAAACATTTGTAACATTTGTGGGAGTGGCTACTCCCACCTGCAGGTGGCAGTATTTCTTCTACTACACTGCTGCCTCAAGTTTTTCTTGATGTCAAGGTATTCTGTGTGATTTGTATGGTAAGTAAATAAATCACATTTACCATCACACAAAAGCTCAAATATCACAAAATCCATGAAAATATTTCTAAATTTGCATCACAAAATCTGATTACAAAAAAATCAAAAACAATCTCAAAATCCTGAAGGGACTGATCAGTGTGAATATTTTAACAGTTTTATTAATATATTCTGCCACAACAGGCCCTTGAAATCAGTCACGGTTCTGATATGGTCCAAAATGAGAATGAGTTTGACATGGCAGTTTCAAGACATTCCTCCTCATATGCATCTTGTTGATGCAGCATTTTCATCAACATTAGTAAATGGTGTCTTATTCTGTTTTACTGGCTCAAAACATAAAATTAAAACTGCATGTTGCCCAAAAGGAGCAGCCCTGGAAAATACATACATGTCTAAAGACTTTAGAAAAATAAAGCAGTGATGACCAACAGCATAACTAAAGCGGCAGCATGCATCATGCAGTAATGAGTTCATGTAACTACAGAGGGAATCTCTTCAAATAAAGCAAACAGCTTAAACACCAACTGGATGTCTTATAAAAACTCACAGTGCAAAACCTTTAAGTTGTGCTGATCGAAAGCTTGAACTGAGTGGAAGAAACGTCTGCTTTCTACAGCTCTTAAGAGACTTAAATTCAAGTTTACAAAACAAATATTTAAGCTGAAAAATAAATGTGCTTTTTGCATCTGATAGCAACATGAGTCGCTGTTTTGATTAATAAAATCCCTTGTGAAACTTAAATTATCTTAAACACATTCTAAATATTCCACCAGGTTTAAATCTAACTAAAATCTCCAAACAATTACTAAAGTTAAACTTTTGTAATAATGGTTAAAACGAATCAAAATACCAACTTTCTGTGACCAGTTTTTAACTTTTACAGCTGTAAAATACAGCCGAGTTCTGATGAAGGCTGGATTTTCTCACTTCTTTTTGCTAAAATTTTCAGTAGGCAAGTCTTTTTAATTTTTTTGTACATTTTTTCACCTTTAGATGACAATATTCCCTAAGCAAATCAACACTTTGTTTTTATTTGTTGAAAGTTATACAAATTAAGGCACAAAATAATGCTTAAGCAGTGCACTATATAATTTCAAATATTTAATTAGATTACTGAAACATAAACTTTTTAATTGAAGAATAATTGCAGAATTTCATCTATAGTTAAGAGTTATGACAACAGCAATGGATGGTCAAGTTTAATGGGGAATATTCCTCAAGACAATCTCTCCATTTTCAAATCTGCACAAAACTTGAATAGTTTTGCAATTTCTACTAAATAAGAAATGCAGTTAAATCACGTGTGAATAAGTTTGTTCACACAATAAGTCATTTAAACAAATTACGTGCCATCTTCCTCATGTTACTTCCTGTCTTCTTCGTGGTTTCTGCCAGTAGTAACATCCAATTGTTGATCATATGACTCATGTATAATGCAAAAAAAGTTTCAAATTTAGTTTTGAGCAATAAGCCAATTTCAAACCAACTACCATCAAAAATTTTAATCGATAACATTTCTTTCTAAATTGACGTTTCCATTAAGTGAAGTTGTTTTCGAAATTATATAGTCAATGGAAACGCAGCTATTAGAGCAACAAATTTGGTGCATTATGTTTTGTTATAATCTAGTAATTGTGATTGATTTTAAATATGGTAACTTGTTCTGACTTGATTGTTGTGTGTGAGTTTCTTTTGGCGTTTGGAAGAAGTTTAAAAATCCAGCCTTCCAGCCTCTGATGAGTGCTTATTGTCATCATACTGGAAACAGTTTATAGCTGAAGCCAAAACAGGTTTTGGCTTCAGCAGATGTGGTTTTTAAATGTGTCATGCTGCTCAGGAAGAACTATGCTGTGTGAAGCTCGTTTTCTCTGTTGGCTTCTCCGATTGCATCTGGATTGGAGAGAGGGTCCAGGTCAGCGAACAGGTTGAACCATGCTGACAGGTCTTTGGATGGTCCGCTTGTTTCTACACAGCAGGAAAACAAAACATGCGAGTCATTAAATTAAAATCTAAACTCCTGGTTTTGTTTCTCAGTGTCAAAAATCAGTCCTACTACGGGTCCAAATATGAAATAATGAGTTAATCTAAGGTAGATTATTAGTCAATTGACTAATAAGCATTCATTTTCTTAAAATTCTGAGTTTTCGTTTGTAACACGAGAACCGACCGCTTTTCCATAATGAAGGGCTAAATTTTTCATAATATGATGCATTTGAAAAGTCTTTTAATTTTTTAACATTATTTTATGTCCGCTGAAGTAAATCCTGACTCAATAAACGGAAAATTGCGGTCTTAGACGTATTCATAAAGCATAAAACCTATTAGGTTGCTGAAAAGAAAAATAAAAACATGAAAATAATGAAATATTTAACACTTAATTTCCCATTCAGAAGTACCGTCGGTGGTTGCTCTTGAAGGAAAGTTAAAACTTCGCTCCATTAAGTGCTTTAACTCGCAAAAGCCTCAAAATCAACCGTCCTTATTGCCGCCATGTTTTTCTTCCTCCGTCATGAAGTTCGACTGAATGAGCGATATTGATACAATAACTAGAGGAGCTTGTTGAGTGTTTATATTTCAAAATTTAAAGTACATTTTACATTCCACAACGAACTCTGGACCGTTTCTCTTAACCGTTCTGTCATGGCGCCGCCGCCATCTTAACTTTCTGTATCAACCGCTCCGCTTATGGATGACCAGCAGCGCCCTCTTTTGGATGGCGGCCAAACTACAACACTATAAGAAGTTCTAATAGGACGTTATTAGCTAATCGATTAGAACTAATTTTAATCTAATAAACCATTAATCCACTTGCATCCATTAGTCTTACCTTTCACCGCTGGTTTTAGAGGGTTCTGTCCAGATCCAGGTGATAAATCCAGCTGTGGGACGATCCCGGTCCAGTCTGATTCACAAATAAAATAAGACAGAGAAATCATTCCACACATCTGATAAATGTCTGAAAAGTTTCCTTATCAGCTTTCAAATGTTGTTTTAGGCACTTTTATGTTTCCAGGAAATGTAGGAATATTTCATTAAGAAATGGGAATGTTGCTTGTTTTGTTTGCATAACAAAACCAATCACTTTTTTAAAGTTCATCCTCCAGCACTGACAATAAAACACCTCTAGATTCCTTCTCTGCATGCTTGCATTTTAATTACTCCACAAGTTTTTAGTTCGAAGTAAATCAAACTGCACAATCAGAGGTTTGGTTGTTTTCTGACCTGAGGCAGAAGACTTGTTCAAGCTTTGGTCCAAAAGCTGTGACGGTAAAAAGAACGAGTTTTCCTGCTGCTGGGTGTCCGATGGACTGGCGCTCGCCTCTGTGTCTCCAGACCCTTTGGTCCATTCCTGGGAGAAATCATCCACAAACAAACCGCCCAGGATCTCATTGAGCAGAGCAAGGCTGTCCTCCTCACCATCCAACTCTGAGAAAGTAGAAACAATCTTATTAATAAAAGACTCTGGAGTTTTTCTGCTTAGCATAGTTCAGAGTTGGGTAGTAACTTGTAACATCTACTTTAGGCAAAAATGTACTAATAGGAGTATTACATTTACTTTTACTTGAGTAGCTTTATTATTAAGTATCGTTACTCCTTCTGGAGTAAAATATCTGGATACTCTACCAGTAAATAAAGAACAAGCTAGTTTTAACAAAAAATTGACCAGGCACAAGATCTGTTTCTATTGACCATATAATTGCGCAATTTGATATTTCAGAAATAAATTTGATTAATGGAAACACGTCAATTCATTATTTGATAAAAAAAAAGGTGTTTGTTTTTTTTAGCCATATAGATATTTATTTTTGCAAAATTGCAATAGAAACAATTTGTTTGCATCAGAAGAGTCACATGATCAAAAACCGGATGTCACCACTGGCACAACCCACTAAAAGACAGGAAGATTTTGGAGGATAATGGTACAGCATGTTTTTTTAATGACTTATCATGAACAAACATTCATATTTTACCTTCTCTCATCTTTTCACTTTTTTCTTCATGTCCTAATGAGATTAGTCTGTAAAATTAAGAAGCAGAACATCAGAGTAATTTGCACATATAAAGGAAGAGCTTTGGTGTATATTTACACACATTTGTTGACATAACAGTAAAAGAAAAGTCTGATCTTAAATCTGCACACCAGTAAAGTGTCACATCTACAGTTCCTCCAGGCAAACAGGAAGTCATTGTTACTTAATAAATCCCTAGAAATTCAGTTCAGTTGCATTGATTTAAAGAAACTTTAGATGTACTGATCATTTTGCCACATCTGAATTTGTAAAAACTGTTTTTTTTTCGTAGCATGTTTTCCCGTTTCTCCCCTGAAATGTATTCAAGTTGGATGTTTCTCAAACAACTTGGTGATATTACACTCTTGCAGTGAAGGATGAGTTTCATGCTTTGCACATCCTGATCAAGAGTAAAAACTAAATGGAAAACTTGCTGCTCATTAGTTGTCTCGTTTCTTCTCTCCTCTGTTTCCCTTTCCGATATTTTCTTCTCCATATTTTTGTCCGTGGAATCCTGTAAACAATAATCCAGCTCATCATGTTCTTTATGTTTTTCCTCTAATTCTTTTCCTCATGGAAAAACACTCTGACCTTCGCTGTGGAAACCTCATTATGCTGGCAGCCCTTAAAGCTCTCGTGTATGGCTGCCATGGTGTGAGACGTTTTCCCCCAGAAGTGCAAAAGAGTCGTCTGAAACACAGAGAATTTCTGTTTAATTCAATTTCCCATTGGTTTCCTGATTAGAGCTCAAAAGATGAGATGAACCTGGTATGTGGTCAGAACGTGAGAGAGGAGGTTGCAGCGGCTCGCCCCCAGCAGGTCAACCTTCTGGCAGACATCGTTCTTTAACTTGTCGAAGCTGCTTTTGGTCGTTCGGACCTGAGCCTGAACCTAAGATTTAATTGAAAGGGAAAAATAAACAAGTTAAACTGGACAAAGTGCTGTCTGGCTGTGGTTTTTGGGTGAGTTCTGCCCTCTAGTGGTGGATGAAAACAGAATCTGAAACTTGTTTCTTTACAAGATGAATTCAAAACATCTGACAGGACATGAGAGACGCAGTTTTGTTCAGCTCATCTACTGTATGCAAAGTTTTCAGTTTTGGGAGTCAACTCTACAATGGCGCATTAGGGCCATTGTTGGTAGAAAAGAAGAAGAGTACATTTCCACCAAAAAAAAAAAAAGAAATTTCAAGATTAATGTACATTTTCTAGAAGAAAACAAGAATGTTTTTGAATTTGAAAAGTTGAAAATGTGCTTGAAAAAAATGAAAATTTGAGATTATTTTGAGAAATTTGATTAGAAAACCTTGGACATTTCTGGGTGTCAAAAGTCGGAAATTCTGAAATCTTCATGTTTCTTTTCTTTGTAATTTCTGAGATTAATCAAAAATGTCAAAGTTTTTTCTAGAAAATTTCTGATATTCATCGCGATTTTTATACAATGGCTGCTGGAAAAGACACGTTTTTGTTTTGTTTTTGACTTACCATTCAGAAACCACTTCCTGCATTCTTGTTGACTGTGCACGATGCTCTACTAATGCTTTTCAAAACTGTACTGTTGTATAATTGTGCATCTGTTTGCAGCAATTTTCACGTGTGATTGTAAACGCCGAGTTGGGGCTGTGGCCAACAACTGGTTATTTAGATTTAAAGTGACAATAGACTCTAAATTAATATAGACAGAACTGATCAGAATTAAAATCTCTTGTGTAAAAATTTGAATGATCATGTTCTGTAAGGCCCATAGACAGCAGCCAAAGACCCAAAGAAGCCTGGATGTTCTTTGGTCACACCACACCACAATCCTTTCGATATCGCGAATTACTGTGAACTAGTTGATATTTAGCGGTGAACTCCCATCTGTTATTTCCGTAGACCTTTCTATGTGGAGGACAAACCTTGCGAAATTTCTCCATCTGTTTGTGTGTGTCCGGATCGAGCTCCTGAGAGACGTCCTTCATCCAAAGCAAGGCTCCGCGGTACTCGGTCCGGGACTGCTCCATCCGATTCACCGTCAGCCACGTGTCAGAGATGGCCCGGTAACGGAAAGTCTCGATCTCCTGGTACAGACGGCACAGAGGTTTCCTCAGAGCCAGCCTAGAAGAAGAAGTAGAGCTGTCCTCAAAAATCAAGCCTCCAGAAGTCTATAATCCAAGAACTATGTTTATTTTACAATATCCTGAACTTTATGACCCTCTGATTGGCTTTTTGAGGTCTACTAGAGGGATTTGAACATGTTAGGCCCCTGATAATTTAGCATATTACTGTAAAAATTGTTCTAATGTGGATACAAGCATAAAAAATTGCATGCTCACCTCTCAGGTTTTTCCCTTTAGCCACTTGAATTTCAGGATGTCGGCCATTTCTCAAGATGGCCACCATTTTTGAGCCTATTAAACCAATTATTGCCAAAATATGTTACCCACTGTCATATGTTTTTGACTTTGTCCCTATTTGTACAAATTTAAAGTGACAATACGAAGCAAAATCAGACACTGGAACCGACGACTCGCTGTTTGCAGGCCTCACACCAGTTGTCATCTGACTTGTTGACAAGCAATCATCAATCATCTAATTGGTGATTTTACTGCAAAAATAAATAAATTTTACATCACAACCGTGGTGGCCTTTTTTTATTTTTCAGTGGCTAACAGTTGTTTTTTGGCCCTTGGGAACACCTTAGGCTCTTGTATCTTTATGTGAAAGATTTTGTGGAAATTTTATATCCCTAAATCTAATGATCCAGGAAGGGATTTGTGTGGGGATCCTCTCAGAATCTGTGATGGCTACCTCTGCTGGGAGGAGAAGCAGAGAGCTTTCCCTGTCGCCTGCATGATCTTCCCAGCCCGGCTTTTATCCTGCGACCCCTGGGAGCGAAGGAAACGACCCAGCTCGTTTTCCTCCTGAGAAAGGACTGAGAAGTAAAGATGAAAAATGTTGTTTTAGGAAGATAAAATACTGATTCCTTCTGATTTTCAGTCTTTGCTACTAAAACCAGCCACTAAAACTTTAATAAGCCAACATATAAAGAGTCTTGAAAGGGAACAAAAGTAATCCAGATGACCAAATTTAAAACAAACTAAATGTTTAAAAGTTACAGTTACTTTCAGGAGTATTTTTACTATGCTTTACTTTTTACCTTTCCTTTACTAATTTTACTATGAAGTATTGCCTCTTTTGAGTAAACTTTCTGGTACTTTTCTCACTGTGAGTAACTTCACTAAATGAAGAACAAACATGTTTTAACCAAACATTCACCAGACACAAATTCTGGTATGTCTGATATAATTTTTAAATATTAATTTATTGTTGTTTTGATCAGTTACTCAGTACTTGGTAAAAAGATACTCGAGTGGCCTTTTCACAAAATTACTTGAGGTAATTTCTTGGAAATGCTACTTACTTTCACTTGAGTAAAGCATATATTGAAGTATTGCTATTCTTACTTGAGTGCAGTACTTGTTGCTGTTGTACAGTTACTGGTATTTTGAACAGTAATATACCCCGGTTGACTGGCTAAGTTTCATCAATCTGATATTTTTGAGTTTTCTGGACTTACAGCAGATCCTCCTCTGGTACTGCTCAATAACCTTTAGCAGCTCCATGCATGTTCTCTGGATGGAGTGGAAGACCTGGCGATGAGATTTAAAAAACATTAACATTTTTACATGCATAACTAAATAGTAATGAAATACATAGTTCCAACATGTCTGAACCAGAAGTGGTCAGCACCATCTTGGTAGACAAGTGACTCAAGTGTTTTTTACTCTTACTTGAGTCAGTTTTTTTGGCGGCTACTTGAGTAAAAGTAGAAGTAGTGCTACTCTTACTTGAGTAAAATTTCCAGGTACTTTCCCCACCTGTGCACACGTTTTGTTGTTGTTTAATTATTATTATTATAAAACAAAGAACAGTATTTAATGTAATATTAGTAACATCAGCAGGAGTTATAACATTGTGTAATTGAAGTTAGATAATACACTTACAATTTTTGAAAGACATAGTAACTGAAAACAGTTAAATAGATCAGTCACAAAGCAAGGGATTTTTCTCCTGAATTTACACTTGTGAATAAAAAATTTGGCTAAACATACAATCAGCTGTACAAACGTAGACCACATGTCAGACTTAGCTTATAGCTAAAAGCTACATTAGCTAAGCTAATTTTGCTAGTTCGGCAGTGAGTACTACAGTAAATGTCACTGATATTTATCTTAGTATTACACATAGGTGGGTAGAGTACTCAATAAATGTAATCGAGTAATAGTTGTATTTATATTGTTTATGAGTAAGATGAGAACGAGGCGAGAGCTAGTTTTAAGATTGTTGCTAGTTCACTGTTGTCATAGCAACTGCCATGACCGCTACGGTGACCTCCAAGCTGCAAAGTTACCGGAAGTGTGACGTGATAACTAAAAGTTTAAAGCTCTGAGGAAAAACTCTTGACTCGCCTCCAGCTTGGCGTCCAGCTCTGCGTCTGACGCCACCACGTGTTCGTCCTCTTTCTTCCCGGTGACTTTGATGAGCGTCTGCTTGGTTTTCCAGTACTTCTTCTGGAACTTGTTCACCACCGATGAGTCTCGGTTCTGGATGAAGCGGCCCAGGTATTCCCCAGAGGAGCCGCTATGAAGAGAGGAGGACTGGATCAGGGCTACAGCAGGTGATAGAACCCGTTAAATACCGAGGTATACTCACAAATGTTTGTCCTCCATTTTTTAAGAAGACCTGGGGAAGAAATGAAGACATACTGGGACCATTGTTGAAAAACAGACAACATTTTCACCCAAAAATTCTAATTAATCTCAGAAATTTTCCAGAAACATGAACATTTCTGAGCTTGAAAAGTTGAACATTTGCTAGAAAAAAAATCAGGAAGTTTGAGACTTAGAAATTTTTTAAGAAAAATTAAGGACATTTCTGAGATTGAAGAGGAGAAAATCTGCTGAAAAAAAAAATCAAATGAATCTAAAAATTTCCGACTTTTGAAATCCAAAATTATCCAAGTTTTTGCTAGAAAATTTCCAACATTAATCTAAAGAATTTCCTTGTTTTTTTTCTTGCATATTTTTGACCCTTGTTTAAATTTTAAAATTAATTGAAGTTTATAGATTAATTTATTTGGAGGCAAATTTATTAGCTATATGGACTTTTCACAATGGCTCTTAATAACATTAAAAAGAACCAGCTATTGTTTCTAAATTTACAAACTCAGTTTTTTAAAATGGATTTTCACTTTTTTTCCCTTATATTTGCATTAAATTACAAAGAATTACACTAGTACTTTCTAGTGCAGTCCTGCTTCTTATCAGGTTGCATTTATTTTATTTTTTACATCTTCTTTTTGCTAAATTGTGTTTATCTTTATTTTAATTCCTAAAAAGAAATAAAATGGTGGTTAGAAATTACAACAAATTTTCTAAGTAGTTATTTTCAAACTGTCACAAGATATTTGTGGCTTTTTTATTTGGCTAGCCTGATAATAAAATTACTCTTTGGATTGTAAACGTTGCAGATATACATATGCCACATAAATGCATTTACATATTAATATAAGATATTAACTTCTCAATACCCATCAACCTATTTGTCTATTATTTAGAAAAACTGTGAGATGGAGGTTGTTCTCATTCAAGCCAGAAGGATCTCTGTTTTGGATTTTATTTTATTTATACTCGCTTTATATTTAAAAATACTCTGAACAAAAAAGACTAGATCAGATCTGTGTAGTACATTTCAGTATCGGGAAGCTTTTCTGTAAATATATATATTATTACACTGCCATTAATTACAGCATATCTGGCCTTAAATGTTTAGATATTGGTTTAAAAATGGCGCCCCCTTCCCTGCAGTTCGGGCTTCCCTGCTGCGCGAGGAGCGTCATCTGCAGCTCGCGCGTCACGACTCCTGTTAATGAGATGGGTTATGATGCGATTTCACCAAACCGTTCTTTATTAAGCCTCCATACCGAACAGAATCACATCTAAAAACTACATTTATGTGTTTCTTTATCATTAGTGATCGTAAAATGTCTTAATTGGGAATATTTTTACAAAATAAACAGAGTCATTTTGCGGAAGCCCAGCGGCGCTTCTGTGTCTCTGAATTATCCATGAGCATCACATCGAAGCGAGTTGCGATCAGAGATAAAGTAATAACATAAAGCTCACTTACCTGAGCGAAAAAGGCAGCATGCAGAAAAAGCAGGGTCGCATCTCTTTTATCGATGCATAAATAGCAGCAGCAGCAGCGATGCCGGGATTTCAGGCCCGGGTTTATTCTGTAAATTTGTACACACAGCTGCTCATTGTCCGTCTGCACGAAACAAGCTGACGTCAATCAGGGCGCACTCCCCTCCTCTTCAGAGAGGAGACACAAACATCCCCGCATCCTGCATCCACTCTGCAAACCGCAGCGCACAATTCAGGGGTGTTTGTCTGGCGCAAACGTGGCAACATACCCCATTGAGAGGATTTATGTAGATAGTTGTGCACTATTAGCGGAGGAAAACGGATAATAGTGTGGATCAGAAGGTCTCCAGACTAAATAAGTATTTGAAAAAAAAAAAGAAGCTAAAATACACTGCATTATACTTTATGCTAACATGAAAATGAATTTAGATTCTTATTAACAGTTAATTAATACGTTTTAGCTTCAAATTAAATAAATTATATTTTACATGTTCCCCCCGCTTTCCCTCTGTACTTTTATGCAAGTAATTAAGTCCAACACCTGCACAAAACTTCAGTGAACATTTGCATGTGTTTACTTAACAGTAGTTTCGAAATTGACTGAAGAAATCAGAAAATGTGAAAAATATTAACAAATGTGGGAAATGGGGAAGAAACTACGAAATGAATCAAAAATTGGGAGAGAAATATTCCAAGATGTCATTAATGTCTTTTTGTATTTCATTTCAGCTGTACACCCACCTCCATACATTCAGAGAATACCTGCTGTCTAATTTAACTGCATTTATTAAGCCTACATCTGCGCATGCGCTTCTCACCCTACGACACTTGGATCCTATAAAAAGACGAAACAACAGGTGAGTTTTTAAACGTTGATATGCTCTGTTTTAATGATAGACACACATTTTAAAATAAAATAAAATTTAAAATGGTTTAATCTGAACTGGACCGTGCCAAGTTAACTGTATCGCTGCTTTAATCTCCAGCAGGTGTGTCGCTAATTGAACATCCACACAGACGGAACAAATTGAACCTTAAGAGTAAAGTTTTGCACTAAATAACTCTACTGAACAATTTACTGAGCTCTATTGCGCATGTTTTATTTTACAAAATCAAACTGAGCTCTACTGGTTTTCACATGTTAAAAGCAGCAGTGTGTGCTGCTTTTACAGCAATTTTACATCAATACAGGACTGACCTGTTCATTAGTCTTTGGATTAATCAATAATTTGACAGCAGAAGGTTTTTGTTTTCTCTTTGGTCATAGGAAAGATTTTTTTTGCTATGTTGACAGTATAAAAATATTATGTGATGAAAGAAAATGTGCCCATCATGAACACCCAAACATTTTGCTGTTTGCTGCCAGATTTTCTCCAGAATCCGTTCTTGGTGACGGTGACGTCTCACTAAAGGTCACTGTGTGAAACATTATCCTCCATAATTATCTCCATACATTTCCCATCGCGGTTCAGCTGAAAGCTTCTGTCTGATCTACAGATAATGTTGTAATGTCCCAGAGTGGGCAAAGGAATCAATCCAGTCATTTGAAATCAAATAAATGCTTGTAAGCAAAGTGAAAGGAGCAATCAGTATATGGCGATTGATTAATTTTTTTCTCCAGAAAAGTAGAATTATGGCACTATAATGTATGGAAACAAAATTGATTACACCTTTCAATTAGTTTTTACTTTTAGCTGTGCATTTATGGTTTAAATGTCTACTCTTACAAAAATAATAGATTTTCATTTAGCGCTTTTATAAGCTTTGTTACCCATGGAATATTTTTTAGAAATGATTTAAAACATATTTAAATCCAGAAAAAATAACAAAGAGAAGGAAAAAAACACTTTTTCCCTCAGAGTGGGGTGAACAAGTGTGAAAAACAAACCTGGACATCAACCAAAGTTTTCATTGCCACCACCAGGACCAGACTTTTAAAAAAAATGCTCAGAGTGGCAGTAGCCCAGGGCTCAGAATTTTTGGGGGGCAGCCCAACCCAAAAAAGTTTTGGTGGGCATTGTTGACATTTACCAACCATTTTTAAGCTTTAATTCATATTATAATGCTATTCCTTTATTTTTGCCTTAATTCTTTGATTCATGTTTGAGAAATTCTTCAATCTCCATGGCAACCATTCAACTGTTCAAAACGCCTGGTTGGATCTAGCTCTGCCTTCGTGGCACAGTTTCTCCTCTGAGCTGCAGTTTCCAAATGTTTGAGCTTCCCCCTCGCAGAGCAGTCATTCTCTGACTCCTCCACTCTGCTCCTTCAGACTAGCCAGCAGCAATTAGCAAACATCTGGTTGAACTATGGATCTGCTGAGGTCATTGTAGCAGCTGCTTCTAAGTGAAACACTTGTAAAAATGTTGGAAGGTTGATAGAGGAGTGCTGTTGTGATGACTTCCTAAAAGTGTAGTTTCAAAAAAAGCTGGAGTTTTTAAAGTGACAGAGGCCCAATTTCAATGCATATAATTACAAAGTCTAATTTATTTTAAGTCATATTTGATATATAATTTTTTATAACAACTGAACCTAGTTACTTGACTGTGTCATTTTATATCACAATGTGCCTGGAAAACACAATACTTTCCCTTTAAAATATTGTATTTTTATCAATTTAAACACAATAATATATGTAATTTTTGAAAATTATCACAGTTTTGGGACCAACATAGATTCATCTGCCAGATGTTTTAAACCAACAATCCTTTAGTTTGTGTCTGTAAATGTGCAGCGCTACTTAATAATGTTCTGTAATTTGCATAAATTATAGGGCACCAAAACCGGCTCCAGCCCAGGGCCTTTATTCTACTGAATCTGGCCCTGGCCACCGCACATAATGTGGACGATGGTGAGGGAAGTAAAGAAATATCCAAAACTAGGAAAAAAACATTTTGCGAACCCAAATGTGTGAACTTTGCAAAACACAAAATTCACACATTTTATGACTGGAAGATATAAAATGTAAGAAGGTAACAAAGGTTGTAAAATTTACTAGAAAATCAGTGGCATTGTTTATTTAAAAAATCCCATTAGATTTTATTTTTTACACTTCAATCAGACCTCAACTGAGGTGCAGTTCTGTTTCTGACCAAAAGATGGCAGTGTAGCACAAAGGAAGTGGAAAAACACCTTTTATAGTCTTCTCTCTGGTGTTTGGGGCCCCAAGCTTTCATCTGTTGGCTTCAATTTATTTCATCACAGTATACTGCAGCTGATCTAATGGCATGTACATTTTGTTGTCACCTAAAGGGGAATTTCTTGTCAAGCTCCCAAATTGATGTACCTGTTTGTAGCCTTGGACAGTATTTGTGCTGTAGAGTCTCGAGGAGTGTGTGAGCAGCATACAGCTCTGTGAGCAGTTACCGTGAGGTACATTTAAACAGCAGGTTATGGATTTATAGTTGGAAAGTGAGCTCTGTGTAAAGCTTTGCAGACTTAATTTGATTATAATGTTGAACCCTTTGATCCTTCAGCCGCCGAAGGTCACGTCATGTACAATGCAGCTTGTTTTCATCCGCTGCGCTCTCAGAAAACACGTCATTGTTGGAGTGTTTTGGATCTTTAACTTCAAAATATCTCTTGATTTACTGCAGGAAGTTTTTCGACACAGCTCCCAACCGTGACTTGCGATATCATCTAGAAGTCTTTGATACAAACAGGAAGATACAGTGGCTATAACGAAAAGCGAACGTAATCTCTCTAAATGCCTGTGTCCTTGAACCTATCTGATCTTCCTTGTCCACTTCCAATCTTAAGTTCAGGTCCTACATTGTACTAAAGTAATTTGAGTTCACTTGAATAAGGCAGGAACCAATCAGGGTATTAAATTAAGTGATGCTGTTCGAGGGGATCTAATTCAATCAAGAGAGAGTCAGGGAAATTCCTTTCAGATATTGATCAGGGACATACGTCACTATTGATTTTCTCTGACATTTTCTAGCTTGGAGATTCTGCTGTTTCACTGGTGAGATTTTTTTTAAAATACATAATGAGATGTGTTTTTATTATTCCACCCCATAAGCCTGAGGCTAATTATGAAAAATTCACATTTTGCACGTTTTTGTACCTCCAGTTTGGTCTCTACTGCTTCTAAAAACAGACCAAACACTTTAAAAAACACCAGGCCATTTTTTGGCAATAAGGTCATGTTTTTTGGTGTCTAGAAAATGAGCCATTTCAAAAACCTCCGGAATGTAACGTCACAAATCAGCAGGCCCCTCGCCTAATAACCCCAGTGAAACCCAGCCCGTTACCTAGCAACCCCAGCCGAGCCCTGCCTGTTACCTAGCAACCCCAGCTGAGTTCCAGCCTGTTTTGACAGGTGGTTTCACCGCTATACAAACTGTACAATGGCTGCTGGAAAGCAGAATTGGGTAGTAACTAGTTACATTTACTTGAGATTTCTTTTTGGAAAAATGTAGTTTTAAGAGTAATTCTATGACACTTACTTTTGCTTGAGTAATTTTATCATAATTATTGCTACTTTTGTGTAAAGTTTCTGAATACTCTACCCACTGGGAATAATTTCACTGAATAAAGAACAAGCTTGATTATTTTAACCAAAAAAAAAATCACCAAATACAGACACACCTGGAGATTTTCACAAATTCATAAGTCTTATATTGAAAGAAACTGATTTTGGAAAAATGTTTCTTTTGCGTGATTTTGTTTTTAAACATGGTATTCATATGAATTACTTTAAATTTGGTCCTTAAAATACCAACATCTCCACATAACTTCATATTTAGGTCAGTCTGTTAACTTTTGAATATTAAACGATTGATGTTTTGATATGGTCTTTAGTATCTGAGTAGACTTTTTTTTTCTACCACATACTTTTTTGCTCTTGATTTATGTCTTGGAAGGCTGCTTTTTACTTTTGCTTGAGTAGAAATATGTTGAAGTAGTGCTACTTTTAGTTGAGTACAACTATGTGTACTCTACCCAACTCTGTGGAAAAGACAACTGTTCACTTACAAATCAAAAAAACACTTGCTGTATTCTTGTTGGTTGCGCAGGAGGCTCTACTTCTGCTTTTCAAAGCTGTACAGTTTTGTATAATTGTACATCCAGCCATAAACAATGAGGATTTAAAGTGACAAGACACTCTAAGACGGATCAAGGAGCTCAAAGTGGGCATGGAGTCTCATGATACAAGTCTGATTTTGTACAAATAATGTAATAAACGTGTTTTGTATAGCGAATAAAACTCTTAACTTGTTCAACAAAGCATAATGGGCCACCTTTAACATCAGGAACCCTGAAACACAGCGGCCATTTTTCTGGGACCCATTTATATGAGCAGCACCCCGCTCTTCCTGGGGTGCCTGGTATGACCCCAAAAATTACTCAATTGACTTTTTCCATCCACAGTTACGTGTAGTGATGAGGAACTGTGACATTTACATTTGCACCACTCCGAAGCGATCTGCAGCTCCGCACCAGTTTTCAACGCAGACTTTAGGCTCAAAACAGGTCACAGGATCAAAAGTGTCTCTCGCCCCGAGGAGCCACCGAGTCGATCCTTTCCATTTCTGCATCAAATGGGTTTTTTTCCCCCTCTCTTGCTCTTTTTTTTTTCTATCTCTTTCTAACTCGGTGGAACACATTTAGATCCTGAGTAGAACTCCTCGGTGCCCACTCATCACTCTGCGTGCTGTTTGAAGATTACTACGCTCAGAGACATCCGCACTGGGCATCCAGGCAGCTTAGAGGCCAAAATCCATAATCCCTTACCCTTCATGGGAATTCTCCATGCACTTCAACATGCTGAAATACAGCCCCGCCGCAGCAGGCACTCATGGCCGAGGAGCTTCTGGACCCCGAGGCTGAGATAGATGGATGACATGTCTCAATGAATGTGGAGGAAGTTTTAAAAAAACAAGTCAGATACTGATAATAGTCTCTTCCCAGAAACTAAATTGGAAAGCGGGGAGTTCTTGCTTGGAAGGTGTTTTATTTCTAATGTTTGTATGCACACTACATCTCTTAGTCCCCATGCTTTATGTGTACCATAACAGCCTAGAAGACATTTTGCTCTGAAAATATAGGTTCACTGGTGGCTCCCAGCAGCAGCGCAGTCTCCCCACCAGTCGTCTCAATAAAAAATTTCCTCTGAGGCTGTGGCGCCTTATTAAAAAGCGTAAATAAATGTAGTTCCTTGATTTAGTAATCTGCATGAACGAGTAATATGTAAAGTTCAGCTGTTGTAGCTGAAGGACCGCTGGGGTTTTAATTTTTTCCCCCTTTAGGCTGCACTCTAATACTTTGTTAGTCTGCTTGCTAAAACCCATTTATTAGCTTGGGGAGTAAGTCCTGCAGTGAGCAAGAATAATAAAAGTAATTTCATATGCACATCTGGTGTGTTCTTATTATAAAAGTGCTTCTGTCGTGGAAACCATTCCGCTTTTTCTATTGGCATGCCAGGAGAAATGGAGAGACGAGGAGGAAAAATCAGCTGGTCTGACATCAGGGCAACAAGTTCACAAATGTTGATCTTTTTTCTGTTGCATCAGGATGCTTAAAAGATCAGCATTTTTGTCACAAAATATGCAGAAATTTATAGTTCATCATATCTGCTTTAATATAAGAAGTATATCCTGGTTTACGGTATGAAAAATAGCAGCAGGAAGCATTACTTTCAGTGTAAAAAACAGCATCTGAAGTCAAAAAAGTACAAATTTCAAATTGGTTTTAGATTGTTTGCTAAAAGCTTCCTTTTTAACACCTTTTCTTTATTTTAGATCTTGTTTCTTTAACACATGTTGATAACCAGAGCAGCAACAAATTATTTTGATAGCTGACTAATCTATCAGTTTGTCAATTTGTTAATACCACTTTGAATTAGTATAATTGTTTTCCATTGCTACATTTTCTATGCTAATTAAATGTTTTAGATATCTTATACACACTGCTCATAACAATAAAGGGAACAAGTAAACAACACAATATAACTTCATTAAATCAAAGTTATGTGAAATCAAACTGTCCTCTTAGGAAGCAACACTGACTGAAAATCAATTTCACATGCTGTTGTGCAAATGGAATATACAAGAGGGGAAATTATTGGCAATTAGCAAGACACTCGATAAAGGAGTGGTTCTGCAGGTGAGGACCACAGACTTCTCAAGTGCTTTCTGGCTGATGTTTTGGTCACTTCTGAATGTTGGTGGTGTGTTCACACTCTGGTAGCAGGAGGCGGACTCTACAATCCACACAAGTGGCTCCGGTAGTGCAGCTCTCATCCAGGACGGCACATCAATGGCAAGAAGGTTTGCTGTGTCTGTCTGCGTATGTAGCAAGTTGATTTTAATATTATTATAGATGAACATTCTCAAAACTTTCAGTGGAACATTTTATTTTTACTGTTACTACTTTTATACTCATTTTCTTATTTTTGTTACCAAGTTGATAGTTCCTAATGTTGCTTGTTGCGAGGGGGCCGGTAATTAGTGTGACACACCTCTTGTCCATGTGCGCAGCTGCGTTTCACTTCTACAGTTGAACGTCTGTGCTTGGAGCTTTCCACGATTTCCTTGTGAGTCAAGCTAGCAGTTATGAAATTAAATTTAGTTGCTAAAAAGGTGCAGAAATTTAAGATTATAGCAGCTGTTTTTGTAAGGTCTGTGTTTGATTTTGTTCCATTAGTGTGTTAGTCTCAGTATCTACTTTTTTTTCTCTGCTAGCTTGGGAAGATTTCTGCGTTGGGAGCTGTAGCCGCCGTGTCCACTGATTTGTGCCTTTCGTTGCTGTTTTAAAGGTTTGTTTTTTGTCATTCATGATAAAAATAATGTCTGGTACTGTACTCCATTGATGCTATTTTATTTTGTCTTTTTTTTGTGAAATTGGTATAATCAGTCTGGAACTGAGCTGAGCCAAATTACATTATTTTAATTTTATTCTGTGCATATTAATTTGGATTTTCATCCAATTTTTATTTTTATATGAGCCGTCTGCCGTGTGGGAAGACTTGTGTTGGGAACTGGAGCCGCTGTCCACTGATCTGTGCCTTTCGTTGCTGTTTTAAAGGTGCATTAAACGTGTGGTGACCAGACTTCTTGCCTATCTTTCTGTGTGCCATTCTGGCGGCCATTTGGAACCTCTGTAGTGTCCAGAGACTGGAGGCATGCTACCAGGAGACGTGGAGGAGAGCAGCAACCCAGCAGCAGGAATCTCCACTATTGTGCAAGGAGGCGCATGTGGAGCACTGCCAGAACCCTGCAAAATGACCTACAGCCGGCCACAAATATGCATGTGTCTGCACAAACTGTTAGAAACTGACTCCATGAGGATGGTATGAGGGCCCGATGTCCACAGATGGTGGTTGTGCTCACAACCCAACACCGTGCAGGAGGCTTGGCATTTGCCAGAGAACACCAGGATTGGCAAATTCACCACTGGCTGCCCTGTGCTCTTCACAGATGAAAATGGGTTCACACTTGGCATGTGATAGACGTGACAGTCTGGAGACACCGTGGAGAGCGATCTGCTGCCTGCAACATCCTTCAACATGACAGATTTGGCAATGGGTCAGTGTTACAACCCAGCTCGTTGAGCTAAAACAAAAAATATTGAGACGTGGACTTCAACAATAATTAGGCTTCTTATTGAGCACCAAACATGAAATGAAACAAAAAAACTAATGCAAATAGCATGCGGCCCCTGTGGCTGATGGTGTCGCCAGAAGCAGGTGAGCAGGGGATCCTGCAGAAGAAAAGAAAGTAAAGTTGGGGTGGGCATTATAAGTTGGGCAAGAGCCAGCCTGAAAAGCAGAGCTGGGTGGAGAAGTGAGCTCAGCCCCAAGTGAGCTTCAACTCAACTCCACCAGCCCCCTTCCCTCTTTCAATAGCCTGCTTTAATAGCCAGGAGATGCTAGGCCCTAGCAGATCCTGGATGCAGCTACTTCCGGGGTTCCTCAGGATAAAGAACAATAAAAAGATGGATCCCTTCATGTAAAGTGGAGGGGGACGCACCATCTAGTGCAGGGGTGTCAAACTCCAGTCCTCAAGCGCCGCTGTTCTGCAGTTTTTAGATGTACCACAGGTACGAAACGCTGGAATTAAATGACTTAATTACCTCCTTGTGTAGATAAGTCCTCCAGAGTCTTACTGATGACCTAATTATTCTATTCAGCTGTGGTGCAGCAGAGGCACATCTAAAAGTTGCAGGGCAGTGGCCCTCCAGGACTGGAGTTTGACACCTGCGATCTAGAGCAGTGTTTCCCAACCCTGGTCCTCAAGGCACACTGCCCTGCATGTTTTAGGTATTTCCTTGCTTCAGTCCAGCTGATTTCAATCAATGACTAACAGGTGTTTGCTGAACTGCAATCAGTTGAATTAGGCACATTACAGCAGGGATACCTCTAAAGCATGTAGGACAGTGTGCCTTGAGGACCAGGGTTGGGAAACACTGATCTAGAGTGACAGGAAATGCCTTCAGAAAGCTCTGTGTCTTCTTCAGATCCTTGCCTGCACCTTTTGTGTCTCTGGGCGTTGTCCGTGGAGCCTGCCAGAATTTCCAGGTGGCAGCACACCTCTGCCACCTGCTGCATACTCAGGTGTATCTCGGCTGCAACCTTAGACAGTCCCAGGTACGATTGGAGCAGAGTTGCCACATCCTCATTCCAAAGAGCCGGTTCCTGGCCCACGATCTTCAGCAGGTCTTGGTTGCTGACTATTGGCAGATGGTAGTGTTTGTGCAGTTGGCTCAGCTCCATGTGGGCGCTCTTGATGCCTGAGCAGGTGATAAAAAAAGAAGTGGTCTGGGACATCCCTGTCCTGCAGATGTTCACCCAAAGGAGGCAGCCGGCTTTCCTGCTGCTTTTGCTCAGTGGACCACGATCACATAGCCGCCATAACGGCTTCGTTTCACCCACTCTTTGTCCATCAGAGTGGGTGGCACCATTCTGCCACCGTTAGTCTCTTACCTCGCAGTAATAATAAAATCTGGTTTTCTCCTCCTCAGTCACGTGCAGGCTGTCCTCCAGGTTTTTGTTGATGCGCTTCACGCATTAACTTTGGCAACCTGTAGCTTCTGCACATACTCTGCCACCTTTTCATTTTTCCTAGTAAAGGCTGCTGTCATCTGAGCAGCACCTGGAACCAGGAAGTTAAGCCATCAGCACGTTTGCCATCTCTTGCTTGGTGTTTGCCATTTTTAATTTCCCTTTCAAGTGGACCTTGTAGCTCTGGAGAAGGGGTCATCAGAGGTTGCCTTCTTGTACAAACCCATCTCCTTTATGAACTTTCGGGCCCCTTTTGACTCCTGGAGCTCTGTGTCCTTGCAGATCGCTCCTCCTCCTTGCTTCCTGACTGGGACGACCCCTCCTGCATAGCGGTGGCTGCTGGCTCCTCTGCAGTGGCGGAGCAAGCAGCTTTGTCGGCAACTGCTGCTGCCCTCCTCAATCAACAGCTCATCCTTGTTCGGCGGGTTCAGAACGATGAACTCGTCCCACTAGACTCGTTTGAGAATCCAGTACCTGCCGGTAGGATCTAGGCACCACCTGCAGCGCTGATGGTAATCCCACCAACGGCCTTTCAGAGTTCACCTTTTCATTGAGTGCTTGCCTTTCACAAGCTTCTCCTTTATGGCTGCCTTGGGCTCGCCTGCAATGCACTGCATTGCCAGATGAGTGGAGATGGACTTTTGTGGCTTCTGGCATAACGGGCAACACACCACACAGCGTTCGGCTCTTTTGTCTGGTCCAGACATGATGTGTGGCTCCAATGTCTACCATGTGGAAGAGAAAAATCCTGTCAGGAAAACAATGAGGCATTTACAATCCAACTCAAATGTTTTGGAGAGCCAAGCTGATCGATATTGAGGGGAAAGTCCATCTCTTGCTGGACAATCAATCACCTGGCTGTGAGGCGCCATCTTCAGAATGGGGTCTCATCATTTGAACCAGTTTGCACTCAAATGGTTTGTCGGTTAAATTTTGTTTGAACTTTTCCCTTTGTTTACATGTTTGAGCTTGACCTGCTTGTGGGTGGGAATCGCCCTCTGATCACGTCAGTTTTCACGTTTTGTTTCGGTGCATTTCTTTTGGTTTGAATACGGAAACATACATGGTTTGGGACTATTTTGTGGTTTGTTGGGTGGTGTGGTGTCTGTGGAGCAGCCTTTTGTCCCTCAACATAATCAAGGTGAGTGAAGTGTTGATCGTGTGCACCTGTTCGCAGATTTGGTCCCCGGTAGGCATAGAGGTGTTGCTCCTTTGGGCTTCATCTTGTTGTTTTTGTAGTGTTGCTTGGAGGTGGTTGGTGTTGACTGTGCTTGGACAGTTGTCTGACACCTATCTGATGGACTTATATCTTATGTGGGGCGGTCTGTATAGATTACCTTACTTGCCTGCTGATTTAATGTGCATAACAACCCAGCCCAAGAGGTGTGAAGACAAGGTTGCTAGGAAATTTTGGCTGGGCAGGTCAGTTAGCGGGGTACTTCTGTCTGCCTGTGCACACAGATCAACACAGATCCTAACTGATTATTGTTGTGGTGTTTGTCAGGAGCAGACATGACTTCTCTTTCTGAATTTTTTTTTTATTTTCCCTCAAAGGAGTTTTTGGATGATTGCAAGAAAGCACATTTGTTTGAAATTGGTAAGCACTATGGTGTAGACGTAGATGGCCGCTGTTCTAACGAGAGCTTGAAGGCTATTTTTCAATTTAATTGAAAAAGACGATTTGCTGCGACCAGTTAGTGAACATAGTGCGTCTAAACCCATAGTTTTAGCCCACCTGTTCCCCAGACCTGAATCCGATTGAGCACATCTGGGACATCATGTCTCGCTCCATACACCAACGTCACGTTGCACCACAGACTGTCCAGGAGGTGGCGGATGCCTTAGTCCTGGTCTGGGAGGAGATCCCTCAGGATCTCCACCACCTCCTCCACCATCCGCCACCTCCTCTTCCTCAAGTGTGCTAGTATATTTGTTTGCATTAGAAACTAGACAGTCTTTGTTTTTGCATTTTAGGCACTTGCTTATGCTGCATTGCTTTAATTCTCAGTGGAATAGATTCAACAGGTGTTGAAAACATTCTTCAGATTTTGGTCCATATTTAACAGGAACATCACTGCTTAGTTTATATTACTTTTAACCCAGAAAAGGATTTAGCTCTTCTTTTTGTCGTTCCTATGGTTTATTTTTTAATTAATGTAACGCACTTTGAATTGTCTTGTTGCTGAAAATGTGCTATATAAATAAAATAAACTTGCCTTACCTTAGTGACATGACAGTTGCTACAGGTTTTTCAATTACAGCCCCATGATATAAATCTGCTTTTCCACCACATCCTGAAGGTTTAGAAAATGGTTAAATATCACCTTAACTCTGTTAAAAGGTGCATTAATCAGCTGCATTACATAGTCTCACCATTAATAAAATTAACTAATTCAATGCCATGTATGTGTTGTGACTTGAAGCATCATCTGATACTTGGGATCCGATTCAACATCCCTCATTCTGAATCCATTGAACTGCTGCCACTTTATAGCTGAACTCTGTTTTTGTTCATTTGCAGTTAAATGCGTATTTAGTAAAGTGGCCGATGAGTTTCAATTCCCTGTGGCAAATTAGATTGCGTTGTCAAATGTTAATTATGAAAATAGTTATTTCTCTTCTCAGGTTGGCTCTAATTTCAAATTAGAAATACTGAAAACAAGCCAATAATGTTCTTTTAAACACTTTATAGTTTCTAATTTTTGTGTTTAAATAAAAAACAAATCCATGCTTGACTTGCCTTTCTTAAGTCAAGCTTTGGCACTATTTGTCAAATTAATATATTGATAAATGTATATGACGGCACTATATTGAGTTTATTTGCAACAGTTTGAATGTCTGAGTCTCATGTTTGAGTGAAGATGTGAAGGTTGGACCATGACGGCACAGAACCTGAAACAAGTGATGGCAAAGATAAAAATAGTCTTTAGAACCTGATGCACTCAGCCAGATTGGGTGGGTTTCTGCCCAACTGGGTTTCCTTTGAACACCTTTGGCAGAAAAAACCCCACCTGGTTGTTAAAATTTGGGCTGCTTGTTTTTAAAAGTATTCATTGGAAAATGTGTCATTGTGTGGCAGAAAAGCAAAAGAACGTGTACATTTAAAAAAATGTCATGTCCTTGCGCTCATTCTTTTATTTTGAAATGTTTAGACATCAATGGTTGGGTAGTCATTGGTTAATGAAGTGTCACTATGTGGTGGTATTATAAAATGGAAAATCCTAGTGCAACTTTATCATTTAAAAGGACATACTGACAGAAAAACTCAAGTTTCTTAGTGTTCAAAGAGTCGGGTCCCAATGGGATAAGAAACAACCAGAAACAGTGACTTGACGATTACAATGTGTATCACTTATCACGTCTATAAATGCAGTCGATGACCTGTAGGATAAATAACAGAAGCCCTAAAAATAAAACCGT